TTTTTGTTTTTTTGTTTTTGGGTTTTTTTTTTTTTTTTTTCACCCTGACTCGTTACCCCAGACTCTTCGCAGATGTTAGTTCACAGTTTTTCAGCTATGGTGAGTCCCACCCCACCCCCACCCCATCCTTGTTTCCTTAGGAATTCTCTTCTGGAAACCCGCTGCCGGGAAAACTGCTCGAAATCTAGGGCGTCTCAAGCCACAGTTGGAGACACAGTCTTCTTTTGGCGTCCCTATCCCCCTTTCCTCCTTCCTCTCGCCCTTCTCCATCCATAAATCCAGTGCCTCGCCACCACCCTGTCCCGGTTGAACTCTGGGCGCCGGCAGACCTACCCCGCAGCGGTTTCCCTTGGCCACTTTCTCGCCCGGTTCATCTGTCTTTGCCTTGCTTGGTCTTTACTTGTTCAGGATGCTCTGCACATTCGGTGCTTAATCCGTTTGCGGGTGGTGGTGGAAAATGCACCCTAGTGTGCCCCCCCCCCCAGCGCCTCGCCCCAGGCCCTGTGGTTGAACTGCCCAGGGTTCTCGGGAACCCACCCTTTGCTTGTTTTGCAACCGAACTGCAAAAGAGAAACAAAGTCAGGCGTTTCTTTTGCCCTTTGGGGCTGGTGTGGAAGGGGCCGGGGCCTCCGCCCCGGGGTGCTTCTCTTGCTTATAGAACCCAGTGAGGCAGAATCTTTCTACTTTAAACCCCTGGCTTGGTGTCCCCTTTCGTATCATAAAACCACCCTGTCCTGTAAAAGCCTCCTAACTAAGGAAGCGGAAAAGACAGACTCTCAGCCCTGCAGTTAAAAACCTTTAAGCTGGTCATTTAAACGTGTGCTTTCTTACGGCCCCGGTGCGAAACATGTTTCTATTTAAATAGTCACGAAATGGTAATAGTCTTTGAAGGTTTATGATTTTCCCTCTTCTAAATTAATGGAAGAGAGTAAACAATAACGCAGTGGCAGACAAGTTCAAATCCAGGAAAAGCAAAGGCTTTTCTGCTGCTTGATATTTAGTAGCAGTTTTAATTTTGCTTAAGGGAGGTTTGGTGTTGTACTGTAGCGCGGGGTACTATGAGGCACATTAAATGTCGTCTTTCCTTCTTTGAAAGAAACGCCTGGAGAGTCTGGTTCCCCTGGCTTTACACATTCTGATTTCTTTGCATCTTTGGAAGGGCCTGCTGTTTACTTCTGGGGCATTTTCCAGTTTGAATATAACGTAGATTTTTTTTTTCCGGCGGCCTGCGGAGGGGCCTGCGTCCTTTCCCACCCTGGCTTACAGAGTAGATTTAGTGGGCACAGCTGTAACCGCCGCCTCATTTCTTGCTCTTTCCTTGTTCTCTTCCAGGACCGTCACGACGGCACCAGCAACGGGACTGCACGGTTGCCCCAGCTGGGCACTGTAGGTCAATCTCCCTACACCAGCGCCCCGCCGCTGTCCCACACCCCCAATGCCGACTTCCAGCCCCCTTACTTCCCCCCGCCCTACCAGCCTATCTACCCCCAGTCACAAGATCCTTACTCCCACGTCAACGACCCCTACAGCCTGAACCCCCTGCACGCCCAGCCGCAGCCGCAGCACCCGGGCTGGCCCGGCCAGAGGCAGAGCCAGGAGTCTGGGCTCCTGCATACGCACCGGGGGCTGCCGCACCAGCTGTCGGGCCTGGACCCTCGCAGGGACTACCGGCGGCACGAGGACCTCCTGCACGGCCCACACGGGCTCGGCTCCGGGCTCGGAGACCTCCCGATCCACTCCTTACCTCACGCCATCGAGGACGTCCCGGTAAGAGGCCGCGCGGGGCAGCCGGAGGGAGCGCAGCCCTCCGCTCACCTGCTCTGGGGGAAGGTGCCCGGAGCCAGGGCCGCAGGGCCGGGATTTTCCTCTAGGATAGTTGGGTTTAGGGGTGAGGACCCACTTAAACAACTGAATTAAGAAATTAAAAAGTGGTTGAGAACAATGCTTCTCGGAGCTCGCTCCACAACGCCTGGGTTACCACTTCCCACCGACACAGAAATAAATCAGGCGATTGTCACCGTTCACCGCAGCTTCTCTCCACGACAGTAAACTGTGTGATTCGCGGGAGGATCTAGTTCCACCGCTGAATCTGGCATGGAGATTTCTCCCAGTCTTGGGAAAGATGTTAAATTTCACCCAGAGAGCTCCTCAAATGCTCTCACAATGTCAAAGTGCGAGAGACACACGAAGAAGGTTATTGAACTAGGTTTTATAAGCACTACTGAAGTTATGCCTAGCCTATCCTGATCAAAGAAAAGCAAGTGGCAAATCCAAGCACAGGGACATTAAAATGGAGCTTTCTTCTCTTCCTAGGGGTGCTAAGTGGTGACCTCATAAATCATTAGCTAGGTTCCCAACGCCTATCAGAACCTGCCACACTGCATATGAAATTAAATGTTTGGAGACTGCTGGGCATTGCATTATTTGAGCTCTAATTCGGTTATCAATAGATGCAGTTTAAAAATGATTTCTAAATAAGCATGGCATTAGTACATGTACTATTTACAATGCAAACCAGGCTATTGATAATTTGAAAATACTTTCTAAAATTAAATTTAAACCAGCATCTCAGCTTCAGTTCTATAAATTTATGGGTTTCCTCACAATCTTCCTGAAATGGAATTAGAGCAAACCAATAATTTTATTAAAGCTGTAAAGCCTTCTGTTAAAGCTGCTTTTCTTTGGAAAGGAAATGTATCTGGATGTGATTTTTGCTAAAATGCTATTCCAAATTATTGCGTCAAATACAGCAGCAGTATGTCTGCTGACAGTTTAATGATTACTGCATTAGATTGTAAGGAAAATGGTCACATGTACTTACCTGCTTGCTTGGTGGATTTAAAACATTGAAGTTCTATAGGAAAATAGAAAATTTTATTACCCTTCACATTTAGCCCAGTTAATCACTGAAATTTGTTGGTTATGCTTAACAGTCTTGTATGAAAAACAGGAAAGCAGGCACTTGATCCAATGTAAGGCTTAGTAAGCACTGTGTGTGTTCATATTTACATGTTTTAGAAACCGATACTTAGTGCATCTGGGGGAAGGTAAAGGAGGCAATGATTTATAAAAATCATTAATTTTGAAAAAAACCCTAGAAATTATAATTTTAGTTCCCTTCCCCAGAGAGTCTCTGAATCCCTTTCTTTGCCTGCTCTTTGGAAATATTTAAATTGCAAAATTATGTTGTAAGCTTTTGGAACTTCTGTGCAGTGAAATTGCTTTCCTTTCGAAAAAATTTCAGATAGCTGGTGGGAATTCTTAATACCTGTGTGGTCACTCTGTGGTGAAATTGGTCAGTAGGCAAAATTAACCAAATGGACACATAGAAACAAGGAAAGTCAGGAGCTGCTCTTCCCTTGCCCTCCCCCACCTTTCAGGAAAAAAAAATTCTTTCGAAGGAATTTGGGTCAGGAAAAGGGTTGTTTTCAATTTTCTCACTGCAGCAACTGTTAACTTTTAATAGGAATGACTGCTAAATATTTAAGAAAATCAAGTCGATGGTGAAAATTATTTAATCATTAATACCTCAGTGGGGTTTTAAACTTAACAGTCTTCTCTGTATGGACAAGGTTTAGCTAGAAATAACACAAATAAAAGTATTATGCCACACTACATTTACTTTATGGGTTTAGGGTGCATGCATAAAGGGATCATATTTCCCCATATAGTTAAAACACAAGAACTGCAGCAGTACTCATTTCTGAACATTTCTCAATTTAATTATACTTAAATCCAGAAGCACTTTAGGCAAGTTACAAATGAGAGCATTGAGTATAATAAAACCTGTAATAAAGCAACTTAGTACCATCCACCCGGAATCATTGCGATCAGGCACAATTAACAGGAGCATAAATCCAAGACAGAATGGAAAATGTTCGAATCAGTATTATTGTTGGACAAAGACTAGAGAAGGAAGTAATAGTTTTTTAAATGGTAATGCCTGTGCTTGGTAACGATTGCGAAATCTTCTATTTCAGCAGCCCTGGTGCTAATTTGTAAACACAGCCAGACATTATATTGCCTGTCAGTTTCTGCATTAGAAAACATGATTTCATTTTACTTTCTAATCACGTTTTGACTCTAGCACACACACGTATACCCATCCATCTGTAAAAAGAAAGAAAGGGGAAGCAGCCCCACACTACTGCTGGACAACCAGGAAACCTCAAAGGGTTTTTGTTTCTGAGCATTTTTACATTCCTGCCTTGTCTACTGTAGGCAATGGTCTTTTAAAAATGATTTCTAGTTTTCCTTAAGTGAAGGTGTGTGTGTTTGTGCTTTATTGCATTACCTACAGGGTTTCCAACACTCTGCTGTTTCTCCAGCCCCTGTGATTTCTATTGTGCTCCCTTGGCTTTGGCTGCCTGAGCACTGAGATCCCTGAGGTCCAAGAGGTGCCTTAGAAAAGCTGGGTGCATTTCTAAAGGTTGAGCTGAATGTGAGAAAGATGAGGGATGCCAAAACTTCATCTAATTTCCAAAGAAAGTTTTATTCTACATCCCACCCTCTTCAATGTGGATTATCCGCTGGGGGAGGAGAAATTGGCCATGGGTGTGCAGTGTAACCTCTTGAGTTGTAAAGCTCCAAATTTCAATAAGCCAAGATGAGATGTTTATATATAAATGTCATTATGGGGGGGGGGATTCAGATCCTACTCCTTCCCCTCCCCCACCTCGCAGGGAATATTCATTTCCTTTTGTTTTGATTATACACTTACATCCATGTGCACCCTTTTGTTGCAGCATGTAGAAGACCCGGGTATTAACATCCCAGATCAAACTGTAATTAAGAAAGGTAAGCCATTTCCTTCTGCATTCCAAACATGTCCTTACAGGCAGAGTGCTATTTAAAAGAACTTGCAGAGCTGTATTTATTTTTTTTCAAATAGGATTTCCTAAAGGCTCAGAATTAGCAAATAGATAGGCAAAGAGCAGTACTTCAGTAATAGGCTTTCAGGATCTTGGTAATGGCAACAGGCGAGCTTTGTTCTGATGGTGGTTTGATCATTTAATTTAGTTTAATGATATTTGGACAAACACATGAAATGTGCAAGAGTTGACCTGATTTGGAAGTGGCATTTCATTTGGAAATGGTTTAAAAGTTAATTCATTGTGTGGAGTTAAGGCCATGAGGGTTGAAAAGTATATCAAGTTGAAATAGTACAAATAACTGAGTATTAATGAAAGGACGGATGGAAAAAGAACACCCCTTGACACAGGAAGCAAACCTTCACGTTCTTCCATTTAGTTTCTGGTTAGCTGTTCTGAGTTTCAGGGCTTTAAAACTTTGTGAATTAGGTTAACAAAAATTTAGTTTTTGGTTAAAATTTAACATCTTGAAGCTGTTGACTGTGAGGGTGCTCAGAAATTGTTAGAAAAGTGCTAAGTGATTTGAATAGATTTATCATCCACATTATTTAGTGGGTAGAAATACAGATGCAGTAGCATCTTTCTTGTTGTTAGGATGGAAATGTTACATTTCAGGATTCTAGGCACCACCAGAGGACGATGCTATATAAAACTGTTCTCATTTCTAACCCCAATCGGTATATTGTTATCGCGTTTAAAGTTTCAGTTTTGCATCTGTGAAGTCGTCATCATGTCAAATTAGATGTGCTAGGGATAAATCTTAAGAGATGCTCTTTCCAAGTCGACATGATAATTGGCTCTTTTATTAGTAATCTCTCAAGAGTTCGTTTAACTTCTATTGTCTCTATTAGCCTCCCCAGAGCTATTAATGTCACAAGTGATCTATCCAAAACCTAGAGCTCCTCACCTCACCATCCGGCTAGACTACCCCCATTAAAGAACACATAAGGGAGACTGTGATAAGACTGTGTGGATATTATGTCTCCATAAGAAATTTTAAGATACAAATGCATTGTACTTAAATGGTGGCAGATGCATCAGCATTACATTGGTGTTGAGAAATGGACCCCATTGAACTACTTTTTTTTTTTTTTTTTTTTTTTTTTTTTTTGCTGGTCTTGAACTTGTTTTCCAATAGTAGGTCCAACAATGGAGAGCTTATGGTTTCAACTGACTGTATATCCTACCTCCCTCTCTTGAAGGCGCTTAGGCGGACAGGGGCATTTAGTATTTGCTCAACAAAAGGCTGCATTCCTAGTGTTCAGCTGTAGGCTTGCTCTTGACTCCTGCTCAAAGCTGGGCTTGGAATGGATCTTCAAAACCTGGGTCTGTTTCAAAATGGACTGTGTCTGTGGATAAAAAGCACGGGACGGGAGCTGTGCTACCACAGAATCCACCACTTCCCAGCTTGGTGCTCTAACTGAAATGCTCATTTACTGGTTGCTGGAGCCATGGGTTTTAATAGCAATTTCTTTACGGCACTATGCCCTTGGCCCGCAACGCCCCCGGGCACACCTACCCTGCCCTCGGTTTGCAAATGAAACCAGTCCCCTGCGCCCCTAAGTCCAAGCTCCTACACCGACCAGCAGCCCTTCTGGCTGGATACTCCGAGCCCAAGGGGTCGTGTGCCCCACCCATCTCCCCGCAGGCCGGGCGGGGGGCCCGGATGGGAAGAGGTGGGGGCGTGGGAGAAAGCTGTAGAGTCCCAGAGCTGGACGGGAGGAGCCAGAGTGGCCCAGGCGGGGATGCTGTCCCCGCGCCCAAACGCGCTCGTGTCTGTCTCCGCAGGCCCCGTGTCCCTGTCCAAGTCCAACAGCAACGCCGTCTCCGCCATCCCTATCAACAAGGACAACCTCTTCGGTGGCGTGGTGAACCCCAACGAAGTCTTCTGTTCAGTTCCGGGTCGCCTGTCGCTCCTCAGCTCCACCTCGAAGTACAAGGTCACGGTGGCGGAAGTGCAGCGGCGCCTCTCACCGCCCGAGTGTCTCAACGCGTCGCTGCTGGGCGGAGTGCTGCGGAGGTGAGGCCCGGCCCTGCCGCCCCGCCCAGCGGCCGCGAACCCATTGCGCCTGCGCGGGAGGGGGGTGGCGACGCACGACGGCTTCGCGCCTCGGCCCTCCCTCCCTTCGCGGGCCCAATAAGGGGCGGAGGGGAGAGCGTGCAGCCTGGGGGCGGGGTCGGAGGCGGGGCGAGGTGGCGCGCGTGCGCACGCGCGGGACCTGGCGCGCGCCCGTGTGCGCAGCCGCGCGCTCGCTGGGTCCTCGGTGTTCCTCTGCGCGCACGCGCAGCTGTCCTCTGCGGGCTCAGTCCCGGCCTCTGCAGCCGTGGGGCGCCGTGCAGCCGCCTTTTCCCTAATCGCGCACACGTTGCAAGCTCAGGAAAACTTCTGGGTGTCTTACTGAACCTTAGCACTCTGTCGGGTGTCCGACGGGAGTCGCCGTCCTTGGATAGGGATTTAATAGACAAACCTTTAGCTAAAGCAAGAGAATGGCTTCCCCTGAAGGCTGCATGCCTCTCTCACCCCGGTTCCTGTCATCTCCCTCCAGAAGGCCAGTCCCGGTGCCGGAGGCACTAGCTGACCTTTGACGGTTCTGATTTACTGTGATGTGTGCCAGGCGCTGTGCCCGGCACGTTTCCGTGCATTATGTATAGGACCGCATCTGTTTACACATGTGACCAGGGATTCTCACCTCACCCCTGCAGGGTCCCAGATAAGCTGTCACCAGAGTATGGAGGTATCTGTCCTCAGAGCCTGCTGTGGCCTTCTAAGGTTCCACCCAAAGATGTTAGTCCTGTCCCGGTGTGGTGGTGCACGCCTGTAGTCCCAGCACTTGGGAAGCAGAGGCAGGTGGACCTCTGTGAGTTCAAGCCCAGCCTGGTCGACACAGTGAGTTCCAGGACAGCTGGGGCTACAGGAAAGACCCTGCTTCAAAAAGACCAAAAAAAAAAAAAAAAAAAAAAAAAAAGATGTTAGTCCTGGGCCTTGTGGGCCAAAGAACGTTTCTTAGTCTCCTAAGTAGGGCCCCAGAACTTCAGTGTTTAACTTTATTCATGTACCTTAATGACCCAAAGTTGTGCCCTGGTGGTACAGTTTGCCTAAGTCCTGTAAGAGTGTTTGGGAAAGGGAACACCTGCGATTCCCTTCTCCCTTCACAGCTGCCTGACTTTTCGTTAGTTTCTATCCCTGACAGATCTTTCTCTGCCCTCTGCTTGTTCATCCCCTTCCCCATCCCCCAATATTGGAGACTGTTTACCTAGGGGAGCATAATCTTATCCACACAATTAAAGAACTATTTGAGTAGGGAATAAAATCTGAAATTAATTAATTTGCTGTTTTATTTAAACAATTTATCTTAACCACTTTCTGATTATGGGAGTCTATTTAGACATCTATTTAGAAATGCCTCCACTGTCTCTGAAATCAGGGAAATTTTTGAAGGCTGATATCAGCCTTTTTGACATTTCCAGTTATGCTGGTGACATGGCATGTAAACAGTTGGTGAAAAGCGTTTCCCAACGGGGCCAAAACCAGAATGTGAGATGTGAGGGTGATGATAACTTTAGTTACTGGGAACAACCCAACACCAGATCTTGCAAAGACAATTTAAAGACCCCACTGGGATTTGTGTGATTGGAGCAACAGGGAAAATATACAGTATCAGTTGAATTCAAGGAACACCAACTCTACCGATCAGAGCTCTGTGTGTTTGTGGCGCTTCTTTAGCGAGCTGGGAAACGCAAGGCGTCCTCTCCACCACAATAGTTACAGTGATAACTGAACACAGAGGGTGCTTTAGAGTTTAACAAGCATTTATCTCCTGTGATCTTTCTGCACTGTTCCTTCCCAGGTTCCCCTCCTCTAAATGTCTCCAGGCCAGGCTTTTCAATGTTTAAGAACACATTCTAGGAAGCTTTCAAAATGACTTTAATGTGACACAGAACAACCCAATGTTTTCTAAATCCCTATCTCCCATATGTTTATGAAACAGGGCGAAGTCTAAAAATGGAGGAAGATCTTTAAGAGAAAAACTGGACAAAATAGGATTAAATCTGCCAGCAGGGAGACGTAAGGCTGCCAACGTCACCCTACTTACATCGCTAGTGGAGGGTAAGCAAACCCACTTGCTTACTAGAAGGGGTTGTCTTTTGGGGAAAAATGTGTAATATTTTTGTCCAGATGTTTAGGTGTATTTTGTATCCATTGTGTAGTCTCATCTCTCTGTGGAATATAGCCATAGCCAGAACTGAGCAGGGTTCTTGTCTACCAAAATAAAATTAAAGAAAAAAACCACAACTAAACCCTATTTACATATACACATATGTGTACTTTCTTGTGCCCCCTACCACAGAATTACCCCTCTTCAGCATAAATCTGACCTAAACAACTCACAAATTTAAGAACTGCACATTCTCCGAGTTCCTGTCTCCTTTAAAGAACTCAGCAGTAAATCACTTAAGTTATTCTGACATCTGCATTTGAGAAATGCGTGACCATTACTTCCTGAATTAATTTGGGAATCTTTGACCTGCATCCTGATTTAAGACCGTCCTGAAAGCTCAGGGTTATATGCCCCGGTAGGTTTTTGTTTTCCAAGCATATACTTCCTTATCTCTTGTTTAACTGTGCTTCTCTCCTGGAGGGAAAGAAAGTGAGCAAATTTAGAATTTGGATTGTTCGATATACAAAGAATAAAGGAAACACGCACATGGGAAAAAGTTTCTTAGGGCAGTTTTTAGCACGCACACCCTTACAAATTCCTCAGACCAAACCAACAACCCTGTCTTGTTCTAGATAAACTGCCAAAATCCATTCACATTCCTGCCTCGTCTAGATTCCTTTTTCTGATATCAAATTGGCTTAAATTTGGGATCAAGTGTTGGAAGGAATGCATAGCTTGGCCGTGCTTCTCTTTATGTCTTGTTTTATGTTGTGGTAATAGGAAAACAAAAAGACACTGGTAATTTATTACTACCAGGCAGATTTAAAATTGGCATTCATATTTCAAGGCAGCGTTTTATGTTTGTGTCTTGTATTTGAGGAGAGATATTACAACTGAATCCAAGTTCTTTATAATTTACTTTAAAAAAAATCTGAAACAGTGTTTTTGAGGAAGAACGCTATCATTTCCATGTGTTAAAAGGTGATGATAATGTAACTGTTTAAGAAAAAAAAAAAAAAAAAGAAATGGTTTGGGGCCAGAAATTCAACTACAGCAAGGTTATATTAAAATAATGGTAGCACAGAGAGAACCCACTGTTCATACCGACCCCCCCCAAATTATACCCATGGAAATGGTGGTGATGACTAAGGGTGGAGCTTGAGAGTTGGTTTGGGTCTGGGGGTTGAGTGCCAGAGCAGGGAGGCAGTTTCTGGAGAACTGTTATTGTTTGTGATCCGCTCCATTTTATGGAAACAAGCTCTGTGGAGAGGGCTTTGATGCTCTAATTGGCGCATGCGTTCTTCCGGAGCTGGAGCTAATGGCAGGAAGCCCTGCAGTAAAAACCAACTGGTTCAGGAAATTAAAACCAAAGATTCGAAAATCAACAACACAGACAGACTCAGTGGAGTGACCCTCAAATCCTCTTGGTTAATCGGTTTGGATGAACAGATAATTATATGTGATCAAGTTAAAATGTAAACTCTCAGTTGCTCTCTTACTGAAAAGCTCAAGGAGTAATTATGAATATCATTGATGAATGTGTTGATAGGTGTGAGGTTTGAATAGAAGAGCCAGTTTCAAACAGAAATTGGGGAATCATCAGGGACAGGCAGGAGGTGATGGGTGGGATTAACATTTTCAAATCATCTTAGCCTTATAGAGCAGTTGTCATTCTACTGATGAATATGCTCCCCAGATCTTAGAAAGAAATCAAATATGTAAAGTCAGAAACAAAGAGTCCCTGTTTCTTCCAACTTCTGGGTGAAGAAAATAAGAGAGTTGGGCGTGGAGAGGCAACTTTGATCCTGATTCTCTTCATTCTCTGGCCCTCATCTCCCTCCTCCTACCTCTTGCCAGGAGAAGCCGTCCACCTAGCCAGGGACTTTGGGTATGTGTGTGAAACTGAATTTCCTGCCAAAGCAGTAGCGGAATTTCTCAACCGACAGCATTCCGATCCCAGTGAGCAAGTGACAAGAAAAAACATGCTCCTGGCTACAAAGTAAGGCATTTACCTCTGCGGGGTCTCTGCTGCTCACTGTCAAAAGAAACAAAAATTGTCTTGTGCTTTCTTCTCTGTTCCTTTTGCACTGCTCAGCTTTGTGGTTGTAAATACTGAAGTCACAACACACACAGTTTATGTCAAAGGGGCAGTACAGGTGGGGCTGTGAGTGTGAGTCCCTTGTTTTCCTTCACTTCTAGTTTTCTCCTTTGCTAACTTTTAAATTACTGTGCATGGGGTGGTGTGTAGCTGGGGTTTCACTGAAGGGGAATGTGGATTTGTGGCTATGTTTAGAAAAACCAGAATCAAATCTTCAAAGGAGTATCAACCAAGCTTTCCTAGGTCCATTTTTGAATTTTATCAGTATGTTCTCCAAAGGCAGAGATTAAGCAGGGGCCTGCAAAATGTGCCAGCCAGAAACTGTCCTAATTTTACCTCTAATCCCTGATTCCATTTACTTTCCCTTCTCAAAAGTCTCTCTGTCTCTGTCTCTCTGTCTCTGTTTCTCTGTCTCTCTCTCTCTGTCTCTCTTTCTCTCTCTCTCTCTCTCTCACACACACACACACGCACACACGCACACACACACATGTTTCAGCCTACAGGCGAGATGTCAAATGGGTTTCAAAATGGCCCAAGTTATATTCCCATAGGTGCCTGGACTGAATAGACTTCTCCAGGTGGTGTGTGAAAAGAAAATGACTGTTTTGATATGTTTTCTGGAAATTAAAAGGCCTGTTTGGAAGCCCTTAATTATCAAAAGTCAGTGTCACAGGAGGGCATCTAGCAGGGGATAGAAGCTGAGGCCTTGGGTGGGACAATTTCTGGCCTGGGGACATCAGCTGGCCCTGGTGATGCTGTTCCTTTTTCTTGGTTCCTCCCCTCCTCCCAGCAGGCTGTAGCCACCCCAGGAAGGCCCCTGTTATCCTGGCTTCTAGGGTCAGACAGAGCTTGGGTGCTGGCATTATTTGTCTGTATTTCTGACTTTCCAAGACCCTTTGTGAAGTGCCAACTTTTTCTCTTCACTTGGTTTCCGAAGCACCCCATATTTACAATTTTCTGAAGAATTTTGGGGGGAATGTGGTAAAAAGGGAGGAGGGAAATTAAAATGTTTATTTCTTCTTCCCCCAAACCACTGTGAATTAACTTTCAAGTAACAGATGGGGTGAGGGGTGGGGTGTGTGTGTGTGTGTGTGTGTATGTGTGTGTCTGGTTTGTTTTTTGTGTGGTGCATGTATGTGTGCATGCACAGAAGTCAGAGGTCAATAACAGGTAGTGTTTTTCCTCAGTGGCTCTCCACTTTATTCATTCTCTCTCTCTCTCTCTCTCTCTCTCTCTCTCTCTCTCTTTCTCTCTCTCTCTTTCTCTCTCTCTCTTTCTTTTTGAGAAGAGCCTGTCACTGAACCCAGAGCTCACCATTTTGGCCAGATTGACCAGCAAACAAACCACTGGGATGCTTTGTCTGCCTTTTCAGCATTGGGTTGCAGACATAACTCCATACTGGGCTTTTACCTGTGCTCTGGAAATCCAGTCTTGGTCCTTTATGCTGGGCTTTGGAGAGGGGGGTGATCTGAACTCAGGTCCTTCTGCTTGTGGTAGAAGCACTTTACCCACTGAGCCGTTTCCCCAACTCTGTTGTTGTGTTTTGAAAGGCAAAGTTATACCAAAGTTTTGCCTTTCTGTCCAAATTCAAATCTCATTTGATTTGAAAGTAAATGAGGGGAGACATCATTCCACAAACTGTGACTGAGTTCTCTCTAGTTGGGGGACAGGGGAGAGCCTCTGATGATATTTTGAAGAGGAAGGCTGGTGGTTGTAGCAAACTGAAGAGAAAAGAGAGATGCTTGTGTTTCTAACTTCTGGTGTAACTTTTCTTTTTCCAAATCCAGTGTGTGAAAAAACGATTATGCATGTCTAGGATGCTTCTTGTGGGTGGGAAATTTGGGGGTAGATGTTTGCTGTATCTGAGGGGAGGAAGGGAGGGAGGAAGGGAGGGAGGAAGGGAGGGAAGGAGGGAGAGAGAGACAGAGACAGATGGGGGGAGGGGGGAGGAGGAAGAGGAGAGAAGGAGGTTGTTTTAGGAAGAAGGGGAGGCATTTAAGAGAGCTGGTTTAGTGGTGACAGGCCTCCCCATCCTGTGTGGGTGGCCTGGGGTCCTGCCAGGTCTGGACTGGCAGGCAGAGGTGACTCCAGGGAGAGGTCTGCCTGCTGCTGCTGCCTGATGGGAACCTCACCCCTCTCTCTGCCCGGCTGCAGACAGATCTGCAAGGAGTTCACCGACCTGCTGGCTCAGGACCGATCTCCCCTGGGGAACTCGAGGCCCAACCCCATCCTGGAGCCCGGTATCCAGAGCTGCTTGACCCACTTCAACCTCATCTCTCACGGCTTCGGCAGCCCGGCGGTGTGCGCCGCGGTCACTGCCCTGCAGAACTATCTCACCGAGGCCCTCAAGGCCATGGACAAAATGTACCTCAGCAACAACCCCAACAGCCACACGGACAACAGCGCCAAAAGCAGTGACAAAGAAGAGAAGCACAGAAAGTGAGGCTCTGCCCCCGCCCCGCCCGCCGCTCCGGCCGGCGTCCCCGCGCCCCTCCCCCGCCCGGCAGGTGACAGCTGGGGCAGGTGACCGCTCGGGGACCGGCCGTTTCTACTGCTGCTGCTGCTACTGCCGCGCCGCCCCTCCTCCCCAGACCCTCCGGACTGCTCTCTCCACTGCCAGTGGGGCCGCCACTGCCCTGCCTCGACCTCCCCATCGGCACCGACACCCACCTTGCCGTCTTGTGGAGCCTAAGAGAACAGAACAGGCCGTGAAGCCAGCAAAGAGAAGTTCTGTCGAGTTTGTGAACCTTTTTTTTTTTTTTTTTTAAATCAAATCAACAACGACAAACATTGAAACTTTTTTTCTAAAAAAAAAAAAAGAACGTAAAAAAATTTTAAAAAGATTCTATGCGCTTCCTGGGGACTAACTAGCTCGTCATCCCCTCCCCTTGCATACAGTTCAGATTGTAGCCATGCTTAAAAAAAAGGCAAAGAGGAAAATGACAGTTTTATCAGTATTGTGAATAAACTTGAACACAAATCCAGAAGGTCTATGTCCTGTCTTCAGTTGTAGGAGTTTTCCCTCTGCAAGGTAAAACCACCCACTTGAACTTTCTCTGGCAACACGGATTCACAGTTATATAAGGGAATCAGTGTTCAGTCTCTGTATATATTTATTTATGTGTAATTTAATGGGATTTGTAAATATGGTGAGTCTGTTTTAAACCTTTTTTTTTTTTTTTATTTATCTGGTGATCTCGTTTACCTCTTGTTTAGTGGGTTTTGAATCTTCTCTTAGTTCTTCATGTGGGTTCTACTTATTTAGAAAAATCCAAGGTTTGGGTGATCCCTTCTGGGATTCATGACTTTAGCCCTGTTGTAGCATGTTAAAGACAATGAAACAGCTGAACAAAAAATTTTTAAGTCAAATAAAATTCTATATATAATTAGTATTACATTTAGCTTTTCATTGAACTGGAAGAAAAAAGTGATAAAGTGATATTGGAGCCTGGAAAGATTTTTTTTTTTTTAAACTGGAGTGGTTTGATAACCCTTCTAGGTATGATGGGGAGAAAAATAAAGTTTATTTTAGTTTACTATCCTCCCTCAAAAATATCATTTGAGCAATAAATGAATATTGTCTTTAAACCAAGGGTTAGGGGTTCCTCTGCTCTTTCTCTTTCTCTCTCTTTTTGTTCAGACAACTTCAAGCATTTGGGACCACCTGGCATTCTGTATCTTCACTGGTCATATTGGAAGCAGTTCTTCTTGTACTGTATTGAGTTGTACCGGCAGTACTTTCCATGCCTGTCAATGTATCATAGTCCTTTGTTGCCCAGATAAATAAATATTTGATACGCTTTATGTCGATTTTTTTTTTTTATTCAGTGGCTGTCTTTACCCAGGCGTATTTTTGTTCTTGGCAGTATTTTTTATTCAGTATGGTTACAGTAATTGAGTTTAACTCTCCCTTGGCAATTGCTCCTTGCAATAAGCAGCTGAACCCATTGTTTCCCTCAAGTATAATAAAAACTTACTTTCCACTTGGAGTTCAGAGCAGGGTATCATTTAGATATTCCACTGAGTCTGTATTCAGACAAATGACACAATAAAATCCAATGTATTCTTTTTGGATAAAAGATTGTTTGTACTGCTAAAGGAATGACATACTGTCTTTTCCTGACCGGGAACATTAATTTTATTATTAAAAATAAAGTTTTATTTTATTTATGTTGATCCTTTAGGTTTTCATTTGCATTCTGCAAACCAAAATATTAAACCCTCAGAACCAAACATTAAGAATGGCAAGGATACTGGCGAATGAAGGAAGAGAAGATGCCCTCTCCCATAACTACACTGGAATCTGCCTCTTAGAAGAGATCTGAAATTCAGATGATCCGTTCATTTGTACAAAGGAGATGTTTATAACACTCTCCACTTGTTTGCTCAGGCTTCTGGGGCCTAAACTAGCTCCACTTTTTTGAGAGGAGAAAGGCATAGTGACAGAAATATACACAGAACACAGAGAGGGCAGATTGTCCCCAGGGATTTCAATATTTCATCTAGAGATGAATTTACTTCTGTATGAAGTAGCTCTGGAGCTCACAGAGGGGAGTGGCCAAGTAGGTGGATCCCTGGAATCTTCTCTGTTTGCACCCCCAAGTGCAGACACACCCCTTTCTATCACCACAGGGCTCCTCCCAGGACCTTTTAGAAACACAAAAAGGCCTCCGAAGAGGGTGGGGGGAGGGCTGGAAAGCCTGCCTATGCAAACCTTTCCTATCTGTGTTCCACAATAACAGGACTGTTCTGCTCTGGGGGATGGAAGGACTGACTTCCTGCACAGAAAGATGGCGAATTGAGAGCGTCAGTAAATGGATTTGGGAATTCTTTGCTTTGGAAGTGAGGGTTTTTAAAAAATTTATTTAGTTGGTTTTAGCAAGGAAAAGGAGATTGGTTAACTGGAAGGTTTAGAGGAAAGATCAGAGGAAAGGTGTCAGTGGACATACTGTGGGGTGGGGGTTGACATCTGCCCCAGTGCTTGGCATTCTGAAGAATTAAGGAACTACAACATCCCGAGTGCCCATTTTGTGGCCTTTCCCTTTCTAATCTCCTTATGTACAGCAATGTAAAATCAATCTCGACAAACCAACGAGAGTTGGTGGAATCTAAATTCTATTTTCCAAAGCCAGAGAATTCATAACAATAGTGGGTTTAAAAAAAATTCAAATGGAAAGTGTATTCTCAGAACGCAACCCGGCAATTGTTTTTTAAAGCGGTTATTTATTATTTCCTAGAGAGACTGGTTAACTGTAACGTAGATGTAACAAAATAATGAGGCGAATGAACCCTAACTGTACATACTGTTGACAGAAATGAAATGCATACAGCGGCGTAGCAGGTGAAGTGAAGCATTGTCTATCAGGACTGTTTTTCTTGGCTGCATCTCAGATTGTGTGGGGATCCTAACCTCGGGCACAGTAGCATTCATAAACAGCCATACATTGCTGCTCTTTCTCCAATGACACATAAATACTCATTTTAAAACGAATACAATCTTATTAAATACCATTCATTCATATCTGGATTTACAGATGCTTATTATGTTGGAAATCTGAACCAATATAATCCTTGCATCCTGTGAAAGATAGAAAGAAAACAGTGGTTAGAACAGTACAAGGTCATAGCAAACAATGGTTTCCAAATGCAGAGAATTAGTTATTTTTATTCTGTAGTTGGACATTTTGAGGCTTACAATATTGCCACTCTTAAAATAACAAAATTAAAAGATGCTATAACCATTAAGGGGTGGGGGATACAGGAGGTGATTATCAAAAACATTTTTTTTTTGATTTAACCAAAGGCTGTGTGGATTTTGGCTTTCTCTGTTACGACTGATGTATATTTTCCCAAACACCTGGGGTTTGCTTGGTAGGTCAGGTGTTTATATGCTAACAACACTGATTCTCTTTGGATTAAACTGAATTAGGATACATAGTTGAATTACAAAGATGCTACTCAGGCTATGCTAATTACCACACCCAATTTTTATGGAAACACAAAGCTCTTTCTAGGTGGCTGGTCAGAGTCATCCCCTGTTTTCTCCAACACTCTTTAAAAATCACAATCCAACCCACTCTTCCCCAAAATCGAATATTAATATAATTTGTGTTCTTGATGGAACTACCGTCAGGACCGCAATGCCCCGCAGCTGAAATAATATTTAAAATAGAAGGGATTTGACATTTGAGAAGTCAGTGGCTTGAAATACCCAGTTGTATTTAGCTAATTCAGTCCTTAACCTCTGGTTTCAAATAAATCAATTACAGTCGATTCCACTTCAGTTCAGAAGTGCACAGGGTTTTAGTTAATTGAATACTTTTTATTCACTTGCTAGGAATATTCATTTATCAAAATTCTAAATTTAATGTATGTTTCTTTACAACTCGCATTGTGTTAGTATGCACAATCAGATCTGATTTGCACTGGTTTCTCCAAATCCTGCTTAAAATCCAAATTTTACCCACTCTATACAAAGCAATGTCTCCCCGTGCCTCTTTTAGCCAAAACAGAATTCACAATAATTCTGTTAGGAAAGTTGCATTCTCTCATTTGGAAAAAAAAAAAAAAAAAAAAAAAGCATGTGGTTATCAGCCTTGTGCTAAGTTTAAAAGGGTTAAAAACAAGGCTGGATTAATTCATTTTTAAAATATAGACCTGAAATAAACAAAAATTGCATGGTTTCCATTAGAGTTGAACTCTGCTGCAACTGACAGGTATGAGCATTTTGTGCTCTTAAAGCCACAGGCTCCTTTCTTCAGCCGCGCTCTCCCTCCATCTCTTATCCTCCGACTTTCGGAGAAGTGTGAAGTGCATGAATAAATAGGAATTGTTAAGCAAAGCAGTGCAGTTCCAAGTGCCCAGATGAAGTTGTGCTTTAAGCAGATATTGATGTATGCAGTGCTTTCTATTTATTGTTTGCAGCGTCCTGCTGGCAGCCGTTTACTCTTTGGATAGGAAAGGGGTTAATTAGCGTCATTATCAATCACTAATGCTTGCCTAACGTGTCCAAAGAATAATCAAGTTAGAGGAGGGCATGAAGCCAACAGCTGCTTCAGCCCAGTCACAGATCTTCTAAGCCACTGAGTGATGGGGTGGAGGAGAGGCTGCGTGGGGAAGAACCTTCATTGCCTGGGTGGAGGGGAGACTGAGTGGGGAAGAACGTTCATTGTCTGGGTAAAAGAGCTATAAAAACAAAAACAGGCCAACTTGTTAGAGATCTGAGAGATAGAGACTACAACATTAATAACCAGCATTTTTATCCTCTGAGTTACAGGTGCAGAGATGGAGGTGACTGAGACAAGTGGACTGAAATTTGCTCTTTAATTTATTTGATTATCCAAGTTGGAGATTTGAAGAATTGCATCTTTATCTCCCTATTGCTTACTGCTAGGTGGGAAGAGGAAGGGAACATGGTGTGTATGTGTGTGTGTGGGGGGATTCAAGAATACCAAAGTCAAGCCCAAGTTAACTCCCAGCATCATCCAGTCACTCCATCTTAGAAGAAGGAAACCACAGAACAAGTTGTCTAAGTTCTCACACCTCTGCACCCCTGGTTAGGATGCTTTGGAATACCTTTCCTTGTAATTTTCAATGGAGCATTCTTTTCCATATTAAACTTGGCTCAATACTCCCGCCATGCAAGTATGTAATCTCAGCTCCTATTTTTTAATGACACTGCCCTCCTTGTTATCCATCTGACATGAGAAACTGAAAAAGTGTGACCCTCTTAAGTGTTTCTTCAAGGAGAAGCCTCATCTTTAATAGCACTACAGACCTGACCAAGTTAACCCATGTGTCAGAACTAAAGGTGTCATTAGTGATCACTGCCTCTCTTATGGTAGGTATGAACTAGTCAAGTTGGACTATGCCTGAACAGCACCTGTACAATTGAATGAGACATTGATGTGTGGATGTACATGAGAAATATTCCTAACCAAACCATGTAGTTCCTTATCATCTCCAGAGAAGTAATTAGTGTTTCCTA